TTCTTAAGATCTAAAGAAGGTCAGTTCTAAAAAAGAGAAGCAAAGAAAATATTAGTAATGTTCTTAAAGAAGCTCACCCTAATCCAAAAAGAAAGAAATTCACTTACTGGTAATTTCTAAGATCTAAAGAAGACCAGTCCTAAAAAGAGAAGCAAAGAGAACATTAGTAACGTTCTCAAAGAAGTCTATCCTAACCCAAGAAGAAAGGTGTTCACTTATCAGTAAATTCTCAAGGCAGTTTTTATAAATAATATAAAAAAAATTAAATATATAAAATAAATAAAAAAAAATAAATAAATAAAATAAAATAAAATGAAAAAAAAAAATATTTAATAAATTAAAAAAAAACAATTAATAAATAATATAAAAAAAAAATTAACTGATTTTAATTGACTTGAAAAAGGAATCACTGATGTTATGAAGGCAGAAAAAGAATAGCAATAAACCAAAATTGGTAAGATTTGCCTTACGTTAGAGCTGCTTATAGTTTCGCTAGAATACTAAAAATTTTCAGAAAGAGAAAAATAATATTAAAAAATTATTAAAAAAAATAATAACCAGGATTGGAAAATAATTAAATATTTCGAAGGAGTGGGTGAAGAAAATAAAAATAAAATAAAATAAAAAAAGCAGGGATGTGAAAATTAAAAATTAAATAAAAAAAGGAAAATAAATTAATCAATAAATCGATTGATTTAAGATATATTAGTTTATTCATCTTTAAAAAGTAAGACTCACTTACATAATATCAGATCAATCTGTTTTCATTAATAATTGGTTAGTTTAGTAGTCTTTTTCTTAGCTTGCTAAATTGGATTAGATTATTATTATTTCTTTCTTTCTTTAGTATGGGTTAATCTTAAAGAATTAAATTGGTTGATTAAGTTGGTTAAATGATTAATAATTAATTTATACTTTTTTATATAACTAATTATTTTTTTTTAGAATTTGGGCTGCCATAATATCAGTTTGGTAAAGGCATTTAAAGATTACTAATTATTTTTTTTCTAGAATTTCAGGCTGTTACAGTATCAGTTCAGTAAGGATGTTTAAAGATTACTAATTATTTTTTTTTCTAGAATTTCAGGCTGCTGTAGTATCAATTTGGTAAAGCATTTATAAATTATTATACTAAAATAATAAAATCAATTTTTTCAAAAATTTTTATTTAAAGACTTTTAATTCATAATTTATTTAAATAGAATCCAAAGTATAGAAATGATCTTTTTATGGTTTTAGAGCTGAATTATTTCTCCTATGCAAGCTCTTTTATATAAATAGATGCAATTTTTAGTGAGATAAAGTTGAATTTTGTGTTTATTTTATTTTTTTCTTTTCTTAATACAATTTATAGTAAGATAAACCTATAAATTTGTATTTTTTTTTTTTAAAACAATTTTTTTTTTTAAAAATCAACATTATAACTACTTAATTAATTAGAATTAAAAAAAATAAATCTTCTTTAGATTAGAACAATTAGAAAGTTTATTTAACATAATATATGAAGTTATATAGATAAGGGAGGATATTAACAACAATATGATATTTTGAACAGTCACGTGATAATACTATATATTCGTAAATTAAATAATATAATATATAAAATTTAACTTGAATTTGTAAATATTATTTTATTATAAAATAATATTAATTATTAGCATTTCTCTTTCATTTTTGATTTTTAGCATTAGTATTAGTTTTAATTTTAACCTGTGCAAAAAAATCTTTTTCTTTACTCTGATATATACTACATAAAGAAAATACAAATTTATATTTTGATGTTATATATGTTGGGAAATCTAATAAGTCTTGATTATATCCACACTAATAACATATAGATAGATTATTATTACGTAATAAATAATAAGCTAACTTGATTGATGATTCACAAGAAATTTTTTTGTGTATAAATAAAATATTATAAAGTTTGTGACTTTTAGGTACAAAAGAAGATTCACAACCATAATCCCAATCATTAAAAATTCATTTAAATAAGGATTGTTATATATTATTTAATGCCTTTTCACTATAAAAACATCAAAATTTTCTACATTAAAAATATTGAATAATATTGCAAACTTTTGTATTTGTAAAAATTGTTGATAATGTGCGTTCAGAATTTGCATAACTTCTATTAATGTAAGACAATGTTATTCCGTAATTTCTGTACCATATACATTTTTGAAGTCAGCATAATAGTCATTATTTACTAAATAATTATATAATATAAAATATTGAGTTTTTATTTTATTTAAAATTTATTATATAAGTAGATTCTTATATTGTGCAGGTATTAGATCCAGAAGAAAATTAATATTGTCAAAAAATATTTTATAAAAGACGAATTATATTACATATGTTACAATTTATATTGTTACACTTCTTAACCTATAAATTATATTAGTTTTAATATTTTTATATAATTAATAATACTAGTTTTAATATTAAATTAAAAAAAAACCTGAAAACTATAATGTCAAATTTGACAATGTGTTTGCATAAATTGTTAAAGATCCTTTTTTTGAAAGAATATCCATGGTTGTATCAGAAATTTTTAATGTTCTATCAATAGAAAGAATTATTTACAAAAATAAAGTATAATTTAATATTATAATTATTTTATTAGTAATATATATATAAATTTTACCTTAAAAAACTCTTTAATAATTTCTTCATTAGCAAATTCTTTAGTTTTAAAAGATACATTATGCAAAACTAACTGTTCAGTTTATGTATGTAATAATTCTTAAACATTATAGATACAATTTTTCAGCTCACTTTTAAGATTTAAATTTTTCTTTGTTGCTTCTCAAATTTATTATAATGTATTAGCCTATTCAAAGATTTTCTTCATTTGCAAGCTCATTTCATCCTGCATAATTGCAACATCTTGAAGACTAAAATTAATTATTGATATAATTCGTTTAGCTGAATTTGTCCAGCTATGATAAGGAGCAGTTCGTAATGCAATAAGTATATCAAAGTTATCACAAAGAAATAGACAAAGAAGAGATATTTGCATAGAGTTAAAAGTTGTTTAATGATCTGGACCACCATCTGTATAAAAACAAAGAATGAGAGGTATATTGAGACCATAATAACTTTGTATTGCATTATAAAATTCAGTTACATGTCTGATTGTATTGCTAGGTTAGAATAATGTATCTTTATATGATACAAAAACTTTGTCATTATAAAAGGAATGTTTGATTAATTCAGAAATATTGATAAAAAAGTTACGGAAGGAGTGAGAGATAATTTTATAAAATTATGATCACTTGCTATAAGAGTTACATTTGTGCTAACTATATTTTTTTTATTACGAATACCAGTTGATATAGCTATATTTTTTCTAATTAGAACCTTATATTTGTCATCTGTAGCAATAAAACAAATATAATTACAATAAAGAATAACAAACTTGCGTAAATACTGAAATAAACAAGCACAATAATGTGCATTTAGATGATCTTTATGTAATAATCTAACTTGAACTTAAAATTTTATATTGAATTGGCCAGTATAATGCATTGTAGCTGATGTAGTTGGATTAGTTGGCCAAAATTGAAGGCGAATCCATTCTTCACATGAAAGTTTGATATTTAATGGCAATAATGAATTATATTTAGCTTTCAATCTTTTTATTATATTTTTATAAAGATCACAAATTGAAATAGCTAATAGCATATACAAAGTTAATCCTTGTCATTGATCATCAACTGCTAGAATATTCTATATTATATTTAGAATTGAAAGTAAATAATATATTATATAAAAACAATAATTAATAATAATTCACAAATAATAAATTACCTTATTAAAATATGCATTCATTTCATTTCAAAAGATATCGAACTCCTTGCCTTTAAAGTTATTATTAATCTGCAAATTAACAATTATTGATAGATCTTCAAGCGTAAGCATTATTCATAATTGATCTTCAATTTCTTTGCAAATAGAATTTGATGTTATAGAAGCATCACCAGTTAAATCATAATATAAGGTGCAAAACATAGCTAGAGTAACTTTTTTAATAAGAGAATACTTTAAGGCAAATAAATGTATATTTATTAATTTAATTAATATAATTAAATAAACTTATAAATTTTAATTTATACTTTATTTAATGCATTTTTTCTCATTTGACGAGTAAAATACTTTGGTAAGTTTTCTTAAATTATTGCCATTACATATACATTTTCTGTTTCTGACTATTGATCTACCAACAATGGAATTTTTCATATATAATTAAGAGTACCAAGATAGTTACCCTAATGATACTGATAAATTATTATAGGAAAATTAAGCTGCAAATCTGTAATATAATAATATTTTTGCATCAAATCAGATGGAACATGTTCTTCAAGATCAAAAAATTCATAATCATTTTTTTCAAGCAAAAAGTCTAATAGGTTTTGATATTTGTTATTAATGTTTTGAGACCCTTCGATAGATATATTTGTAAATCTTGATTGAAATCCTGTATTACTAAATTATTATTATGATGAACATTCATTTCAAAATTAACTCCTTGTAAATATTTTACATATTTTCTCACTATATTTGTTAATTCAAATACTTGTAAAATGAAATCAATCTACTTTATTTTACTTGCTCATAGTTGTCTGATTGAAAGTTCCAATAATTATGCTAAATTCTCAAGCTTTTCTTTTTCAAGTGATTTTTTTTTATGGTGTCTAGTAAAATAAAAATTATTATAATACTTGTCACATTAATATAATTTAATTCTTTAAAAATATCTGGAACATTTAATGAACGAGCAGTTAATATACTATGATATGGATCAATATACCAAAGAAGAGTTACAAGACGATTCACAAATATTTTTGTGAAGCTTTCTTGATTTCCATTCCAACCACCCTTTGTTTTTTTTAATAATGCTATAATATCATTATATAAAATGTCTTTTTGTGTATCTTTCCTTTTTATTGGTAAAAATATGATTAACGGACATGTTCTATCATAATATCAAATGCAGTTTATCTTGCCAGTTGTATTAGTTGTGGTGGATCATCAGGTTCTTTAGTTTGTTTAATAAATTGTATATATTTTAATTCTAACTCTAATATTAAAGATATTTTATCATAAAGTCCTTCTTTGAGATAGTTCTACTTGCCATCCATTTTCCTACATAGACTTTTACATTCTAGTTGCCAAATATGCCTTCAGTAGTTGCTTCATATATTTTGCTAAATATACATACGTCCTCAGCTACTTTAATAATTTGCTGACCAATGATATTTTTTTGTCCCTCATTAACATTAACAAAAAAGTGTATCATGTTTAAAAGTTAGGAAAGACAACTCACAAAATTTATGATAATGATTAAATTTGATGAAATTGAACAAGAAAAGATGTATCAAACGCAAATTGTATATGAAAAAAAATTTTCCATTTTTTCACGCAGCACTTTACTATGGTTAAACATATTAAAACTTGATAAAGTTTTACGAAAGGAGGATTTTAGGCTTTTATATAAAAATAGGTTGTAGTATACACATAGTACATATTATATGCATTCTTTAAAAATTGAACACTAAATCCTGATAATCAACATTTTTTTATAGTAATTATCACTGGTCGAAATCAAAAAAATCAGACATACAAAAAATCAGCCTAAATTTAGTTAAAATTCGGCAAATTATCAAAAAATCAGCCTAGCTGATTAGCATACACTAGAAATCGGCTAAGAATCGGCTAAAATTTGACCTATCTTATTTATAGCTGATTGGTATATGTCAAAAATTGGCTAAAATTTAACTTATCTTATTTATAGTTGATTGACGTCTGATTTATATCTGATTGATATACATTACAAATTGGTTAAAATTTGACCTATCTTATTTATAGCCGATTGATGTTCAATTTACATCTGATTGATATACATCAAAAATAGACTAAAATATTTTAAAATAAAATAAAATACGAAAGGAAATATAACTGATATATAGGATTAATAGCTAAATAATGCTAAAAACATCTAATTTATTTTTACAAATGGTATTTTCTATTATTTAGATTAACAGCCAAATATTCTTTTGCATTTCGTCAGGCTGAAATTCGATAGTTAATTGGTACAAATTGACCCAAAATATGATGAATTGGTATTATACAATCACGACTTTCTAGATAAAATTCAGTATTCTATAATTCGACATTACAAGTTTCTTCTTTGCTAAAATAATACCGCATATTTGGAGAACTTGCAGGTTTATACCAATGAACAAATGCTAGAAAATGTTTAGCCTTTCTGGATGGCAAATCGATCTTATATGTAAAATAATATTGGACTTGGTTAGGATAACAATCAACTGTATCATCATTTGTAATAAATTTGGCCAAAATGTACAAATTTTTTACATGTCACAAAGATATTAACGATCTGAAGATTTTAGAACCAATTTGATACCTTCCAAATTGATTCATTTTGATCTAAATTGTTATACCATCTTCCGAATCTTTATCGAATGATTTTCTAAAATCAAACGTAATATAAGTAGTATTGTAGTATTCAACTATCAAATCAATCATTTCGCTTGAAATAATTATATTATCAGATAATGGTTTAAGGAATTCACTGGAAAATGATTCACTACCAGTAACATTTTATCCCTTAATATTTTATGAATTCATCCAAAATTGATAGATTTCATCAAAAGAAAATTCATCTATATCTGAAAGGAAACTAATTAAAAGCTGATTGTCTAGCAATTCAAGCCCTTTTACCTCAATACCACTAAAACTTGTAATACTGTCAATTTAAATATCAAACATCAATCGATGTATTAGCTCAGGTTAGATTTTTCTATTACTATTCAGTAAAGAACCTAAAAATCGTTCATAAATTAGTAAGCTAATTTATTCAAAAAAAATACCTAATATTCCATTCATGCATTCAAAAGAAAAATACCAAAACGCATATAACAGACTATAATCTCTTGAACAATCATACAAATGGAGAGAAAGGTGAAAATTTAGCGTGATTTTGTTATGCTCGTGATTATTTTCAATCAACTTCACCATATCAATTAGTCTTCGATGTGCTTCATGTAATAAATCTGATTCTACAATCCAGCTTACTAAAATTATACAAATCCTTACGAATTGTGTAAGAATCTTTCTATTTACAATCGGAAGATATTCTCAAAGCAAAACAGTAGCATATATAGTGAAAAATATTCGCTACTGATCAGCCGTAAAATTAGAAAATCCTTCTCCTTCATGAATTTTATCTAGAATTCAACCCAGATCAGAAGGAATCTGAAACTCATTCATTTTTTTCTGAATCTTATTCAAGGAATTTGATGTCAAAATCCCTTTATCGATCTAAATTCGTTTTACTATCCATTGTGCAATGCTTAAAAATAAGCAATGCATTGGATCAATTGTGATATATTTTATAGGGTCAAAATATGGCAAACGTAATAATTCAGATCATCTTACACTACTTTGCTTTATAAATTATTTTCATAAAGCATCCAAATTACAGCGTCTCCATTTTAACGTATTTTGATGTTGCTCAATTGGATCTTACATAATGAACCAATCATCTATATTATCTATTCTGGCAAAATTATGCTGATGATTTTCATAATTTACCTTTTTTTCGCATCTATGACATAATACTAAAGCTGAAATATGTCCACATATTTTCTAGCGGTCAGTACATCACATAAAACAAGAATTAAAGCTATACGAATGTTCTTTCCTTCAGGATGTTCATATATTTTACCTATTGTAAATTTATCCTAAAGTGATTCCAATTCATCTACAATCAGCGCTAAATAATGATTTATTTTATGTAAACTGACCTCACTTGGTCTGGATAAAAGACCAAGAGTCAGTAAATTTTCATGTTTAAATCAGATATCACGAGGCAAATTGCATATAGTGGTATATATTATTTTATGCTATAAATAGTACTACCATATAGCTGGAACTAGTTAAGATTTAGCATTAATACAAGATGAGAATCGGCCACTTCATTTCAAAAAAAATTTGCTAAATCTTCTTATAAAGATTCTTTTAACATTTGCCAAACTTCACCATCATATATATTAGTCATAATGTTGTCAAAATGCTGACGATTTGTCCATTGTCTCAGGCTAGTTTCAAAATTAGGCCAATGATACATAGAATTGAGTTATTGTCAAATTTCAGAAAACAGAAAGATTAAATTAGGTCAAATTAAAGTTCAATTTGTCGATACGACTTTTTGAGATAATGGAATATTGCAAAATCGTGTTTTGCGAATTGACGAATTGGAAAATTCTATATGTTGACATTTCATTACAGTCGGCATATTATTCTGTTGAAAATTCACCACTTCCTACTTTTGATACAACTTATGACATTTGGAACAAGAAACGAAATGGTGAAATCAGTCATTTAATTCAAGTGCTTTTTTTGTTAAATATATTGAATTTGAAAAATTTCTAAATTCGTCACCTCCGATTTCTATCAGAACCAATTTCATAAATTTTATTAACACTTCAGTTGCAGACTCTGTAATGTTGAATCTTATCCAAAATGACATGATCCAAAGTAAAATCCACAAAAATCAGTTATCAATTGATTCTATATTTGGTGGATTTTGAAATAGCTCATAATCCAGTGATCATAATCTTCAAAAATTTCAAAATCATCCTCTACAGAAATATCATCATCTTCAGATTCACCTGTAATATAATCTTCT